GGAAAAATCCTCATAGCCCCATCACCATAAGATAACCACAGTTGTCATTTTGGAGTAAATCTTTCAGTTCATAAACAAACACAGACACAAATGCACAAGCTATCTTATATTATTATCCATGCTGCTTTACAATCTGTTTTTTTTTTTTATTCTATCCAGTGATATATTGTGAACCCTTGCTCCATCCATAAAAAATTTTTGTAAGATTTGTTATCTAACTGCTGCATTTTCTCCATTGGTTATTAATCAGTCTCTATCACAAAACATTCATAATTTTGCTATTTTAAACAAAACAGCAAAACAAATTCTGTATCTAATTTGGAGAGGGAGACATTTGATTGATTGATTGATATTATAAGTAATAATCTTAATTATTAGTTATTGTTGTTGTCCTTCAGAAGCAGTACATAGACTGATATTCCCATTACTCATGCAGGAAAGTACCTAAATATCTTCACCAACAGTGTTTACAATTGTTTAGGTCTTAGTTTTATATTTGAAAAATATTACATTACTATTTTTGTTTTTTCTGATAGCTACCAAGATTTTTTTTTACTAGTTTCTTATTTTACATCACTAATTTAACATTCTTCTTTTGGGAACTCCCTGTGCATATTTTTGCATATTTCCACTCATATGACTATAATTTTCATATTTTAAAAAGTTATTTATATTAAGTATATCATGACTTTTTGTTTTATACATCTTGAAAACAATTCTCTTTGATCATTATTTAAATATTTGATGTATATATTTTTTTAAATTTTTTATTTATTTGCGAGAGAGAGAATGAGAGACAGAGAGCATGAGAGGGAGGGGGGTCAGAGGGAGAAGCAGACTCCCTGCTGAGCAGGGAGCCTAATGTGGGACTCAATCCCGGGACTCCAGGATCATGACCTGAGCCGAAGGCAGTCGCTTAACCAACTGAGCCACCCAGGCGCCCTTGATGTATATTTTGATCATAAAAAATGTTTTTATTCATGGTGTCACATCTTGCAATCTCTATATTTTGGTTAACATTTATAATGATAGGAAATTAAATTTATACAAATAAATTTTGAGAAATTATACTATGTTAGATATTTTAATTTTCTCAAAAATTTTATATTCTTCACTGCCATTAAATATAAAAAATTCACACTTTCATATAAAATAACTTTTCCTTAAGATGAAATGGAATAGAGTTATATATAATGATGTTGCATATTATGTGACTTTTGTTATTCATCTCATATCTACTTCTCTCACAGAATTGACTCTATCAATAAATGGTAAATTTTTGTTAGTTGTTGACAGAATCTGTTTCCTATAGAATAGCTTAAGTGATCTTTTCAGATTCTGAAATACAATAATAGGTCATGGTTTATGGGAATTGCAAAAAGGTGACCTTACTGGTGGGAGAAATTGCAAAAGGACCTCCTTCTTGGGAATGCATTTCAAAATAGGTTTCCTTGCCCCACACTAAAACAGTACCATGGGTTGGGGCAGGGGCATGAACCTGACTAAAGTAGCAGAGGCTGGATTATTGGATCTAAGGCCTGGCAACTTTGTGCAGTACAAAAGTTGACTCTGTTGGTGGTGACCCAAGTTAGATCATGTCACATCCATACTCAAAACCCTGATGGCCTTTTAGCTCACTTAAAAAAAAAATTCAGTGTTTACGATGGTCTGCCAGACTTTGTATAGACTTGCCCTATTGCATCACTTCTCAGGCCTCATTGTGTACTCATCTTCACATGCATGTTCCACAATTAGGATGTTTGCTCTGGTTGTTCCTTTTCCTTGGAAATCTCTCACTTCCGTTTGTCACCCCAGCTCTTACTGGTTCTACTCAACCAGCTCTGACCACAACATTTAAAACTTCAAATTTGAGTAACATCATTAATAGTGGAATAAAAGTTTTCTCCCATCTTCCCCTAAAGAACACTGATTTAGACAATTGTTCATGGATGAGAGACGCTTTGTAGAAGTCCAGGAGTCCAACAAAGATGTTCCAATTCATCATTTGAGCAAAAAATATTAAGATTGGATGCATCAAAGTTGGTAAGAGGAACAGTTTCGCTTTACCTGTGTCCTTCTTTCCTCAAGATGATACAGATGAGCCTTCTCAGCCCTTGATTTCTCTCATGGGGGGAAGTGAAAATATATGAATGATGTCCAGATTTCCCAGCTGTATAGGATGCTGCCAGAGAGACTCACTTCTTTTTCATCCCACCCAGAATACTGGGGGACAGAGACCAGTTGGGAAATCAGAATTTATGGCTCTCAGAGGACTTCAGACAGAAACAGGATCTACTTACAGCATCATGGACTCCATCAGGAAACCTTCCCATGAGCTGTTAGGGGTGCCTCACCTACAGATGCTCCAACTGGCCTTTTTTCTCTCTGAACAAATAAAAACCCATAAACAGATGGTTTCACTGTTGAATTCTACGAAACATATTAAGAATTAAAGTCCAGCCTTTTAAAACTCTTCCAAAATATTGAAGGGGGGTGGAACACTTCCAAATTTTATGAGGCCACCATTACCCTGATACCAAAGCCAGATAAGGACACCACAAGAAAAGAAAACTACAGGCCAACATCCTTGACAAATATAGATGCAGAAATCTCAACAAAATACGAGCAAACTAAAGTCAACAGCACATTGAAAGGATTATACACCATGACTGTGGGATTTATCTCTGGGATGCAAGGATGTTTCAATATAAACAAATTAATCAGTGTTATGCATCACATTAATATAATGAAAAATAAAAATTATATGATTATTTCAATAGATGCAGAAAATGCATTTGGCAAAAATTTACATCTACTTGTGATAAACACTCTTAACAAATTAGATACAGGAGTAACATAACTCAATAAAGTCCATATAGGACCACCCCACAGCTAGCATCATACTCCATGATGAAAGGTTGAAAAGTTTTCCTCTAAGATGTGGAACAAGACAAGGTTGCCCACTCTCACTACTCATATTCAATATAGTATTGGAAGTCCTAGCCAGAGCAAACAGGTAAGAAACATAAGTAAACGACATTCAAATGTGAAAGGAAAATGTAAACTTGTCTTTGCATATGGTATGATCTTTATATACAGAAAATCCTAAGGACAGTAACACCCTGTAAGAAGTAATAAACTAATTCAGTAAAGGTGCAAAAAAAATAAAGACACAAATAAATGGAAAACTGTTCCTTGTTCATGGATGAGAAAGGATTAATATCATTAAATTAACAATAATTAATAATTATAATTAATAATTGATTAATATTAATAATTAATAATAATGATAATTAACCCAAAATTCTCTGTGGAGTCAATGTAGTCCTTTCCAAAATTCCAATGGCATTTTTTACAGAAATAGGAAAAACAATCCTAAAATGTATATGAAACCCAACAAAAGGCCCTGAATGGCCAAAGCAATCCAGTAAGAACTGTGAGAAGAAGAACAAAGTTGGAATAAGAAGAAAAAAGTTGGAGGCATCACAGTTCCTGATTTCAAACTGTATTACAAAGCTACAGTCACCAAAAAGTATGATACTGGCAAAAAGCAAATTAGACCAATGGAACAGAATAGAGAGCCAAGGAAGAACCCCCCCCACACACACACAGTCAACTAATATTTGATGAGTAAGCCAAAAAATAGCCAATGGGGAAAGGATAGTGACTTTAATAAATTGTGCTGGGAAAACTGGATAAATATATGCAAAAGAATGAATTTGATCCCTATCTTATACCACAAATAATCCAATTTAAAATGGGCAGAGAACCCGAATAAACATTTTCCCAAGAAGTCACACAAGTGCTCAATAGGTAAATTAAAAGTTACTTGACATCACCAATTATCAGAGAAATAGAAATTAAAACTACAATGAGATATTACCTCATGCCTGTTAGAATGATTATTATCGAAAAAGAAAAGAGGTAACAGGTATTAGTGAGGATATCAAAGAAAGGGAACACTTATGCACTGGGGGTGGAAATGTAAATTTGTTCAGCCACTATGGAAAACACTATGGATATTCTTCAAAAAATTCAAAATAGAACTACCATATTATTTAGCATTCCACTTCTGGGCACATGTCCAAAGGAAATGAAGTCACTATCTTGAAGAAATATCTATACTCTCATGTTCGTTGCAGCTTTATTTAAGAGATGGAAGCAATCTAAGTGTCCATCAATAGATGATAAGTCAACCACTAGTTCTATAGGATATATCACTTATATGTGGATTCTAAAAAAGCCAAACTCAGAGAAATCGAGTAGAATGGTGTTGCCAGGGGCTGAAGTTTGGGAAAATGGGGAGATGTTGGTCAAATATTACAAGTTTCCAGTTATAAGATGAAAAGTCCTGGACATCTAATGTACATCATGGTGATTATAGTTAACAATACTGTATTTATATACTTGAAAGTTGCTAAGAGAACAAATCAGATTCTCACCACACACATGCAATTATGTGAGGTGATAGAGGTGTTAACCTTATTGTGGTAATCATTTCACAATATATATATGTATCAAATTACCATGTAGTATGACTTAAACTTAAACAATGTTCTATGTCAATTATCTTGGTTAAACTGGAAAAAATTAAAATAGCAGACTCTCTCCTCACTATCTGTCCCCCTCAGATGGATTTCTGTTTCTGTACAGCGGTTGTTTATTTTTATTGCCTGCCTCCCCCAGAAGAGTTTTTGTATGTTTACACTTACCTGCATTATATTTATCTCTTTTAGCATTATTAGCATTATTAATTCCTGAAAATTCATGCAACTTAAGAAGATAAAATTCATGTTGTGGCCATTTCTAGACTGTGACTACGACTTTATGATAAACTAGTTCCTTTTTTTCAATGATAACCTTAGAAGTTATTTCTTTAGAAAATTAAACATTCTCAAAAACTTAACTTTTTTTCTAATAGTAAAATAGAAAGTGTGAATGAGAACACTTTGATACTGTGACCTATATTGTCTGTTGACTGGTCCTGAGCATTCTTTATGTCAATTTCTACAACTGAGGTTAGAATGAAATGCTGTTTTTCTGGAATACGTTTCACCTAGGGGTGGTGGTGTGAGGTTGTTATCTGAATTAAAGCTAATGCTGATATCTGAATTACTTATAAAAGAAAAAAAAACAAAAATGTCTTGTAATAGAAGAATAATTAAATGAATTATAATATAATTAAATATAAGCATCTGATAATTTGATTATAACAAAAATTCTAGTCACATGTGAAATATGTATATTTTAATGTAGGGAGATTAAATAAGAACATAAATAGCATATATAGTATGATCCTAAATATGTAAATATGTCCCATAAGATTAAAATTATTTTTTTACCTTTGGCATAATTTTCTTTTTGAGAAAATATAATATTCACATAAAAAAGGAAAATAAAGCTAAGAATTACTTTCATGCATCAAGTAAACCAAATTGTTTAAATGCACCAGCATATGATATAAGCTAAACGTAGAACTATGAGGGAATTCTCTAATGGTGTGTTGGTGCAAGTACCACATTTAGCCCCCAATATCAATTTTTATTTAATAAATTAACAACTTACAGGAAAACAAGCAGGATGATCAATAATTGGAGTTTTAGAGAATACTTTGAAAGTATGAAATTGTGTTTGCCAAATCCAATATGTCTCTCTACTTACACAAGCAAGAGTGACAAGACCTACAAACCTTCTCTTCTCTGCTTTATTGCAAGGCGGCTATAGCAAGCCATTAAAAAACAACCATTGGAGTTCACGGAAAATAACAAAATACAAGTATCAAATCTCCAAAAGATACAGAACAGCACACATACCATAAGGACATGTATTAAGTGAGAATGTGAGAGAAACAAAAAGCAAGAAAACAGTGAGTCAAAGAGAGAGACACAAAAATGAATCAAACTGCCAGCAACAGTTTCAGCTTCTAATCAAACAGCAGACTGTATATAAACACAGTCTGGAAGGTGCTGTAGGTTACACATTGGATTTTTTCTCCCTAGTCTTTCTAATTAAAATCAGCTGTAACATTAGCAACAGTATTTCTTTAAGCATAAAAACCAATAGATGCCTTATATATCCAAATTTGAGCAAAATTGTATAGAGTACATATTGGAAGAGTGACCTTAAAACAAAACCAAGAATAAATTTGTAATTTATCTTTTGGTTTATATCTTTGTATGTTATACATGCTTAAAATATTTTTATTATTTATCTATACATTAAATTTTGTCAAAGAAAAAATAGACTTTAATTCATATATCAATACATAAGTGATGGAGATTATATACATTATGAATAATATATTATGAATTTTATTTCGTTTTTCTTTTCTTTTTTTTTTTTTTAACAAGCTTAAGCTCTGAACTGAGACAAAGATGGGTTGCAGTGATGATCCTGCCTCTTGCTACTTTGAACAAAATTAACCTTGGGCAAGTAATGTAAGACTCATTTTCCCAATTGTAAAACGTTGATGATAATAATAGGAATCTTTTCACTTTGTTTGAGAAGTTAAATAATATAATGAATACAAAATACTTGATAGTGTCAGGTACAGGGGACTTAATAAATGCTGAGGATTAGATTTATTGAGCTTTCATTACATTGTAGTACACACAGAATCTCTGTAAATTAAGTGCTTTTATTCCCATTTACAAATTAGGAAAGAAAGAATAAGAAGAAAAAATTGATTTTCCCCATCTGACAAAGTCTTTTAACTTCCCAGAGGCCACAATTGTTTCTTCGAAAAAAGGAGCCGAAGTAAAATAAAAATGCGTTTTCTCATTTTCAAGGGGATCTAGAGAGAATAGATACTTTTGCAAACCATACTCTCAGTGATTTTATAGTTAGAAACTGCCAGGTAGCATCGAGTGCTTTCTTTCTTTTTTATATTTACACCAATTATATTGCACACATTCCTGCTGTAAAGAAAATATGCAAAAAGCTTTGTCCTTTTACTTTAATATACATCATTTTAACCCACTGGAAACTTTGAGAATTATTTTTCTTATTCTCTTTTAGCCTGTAATCTGATTGGATGTGTACAGGCGAACACAGATACCTGCCCACCTCCCCCCCAACACACACCCTCTAGTGTACCATCTGTTTTCTATCTTGACTTAGTGCATGTCATTAACAAGAGACATTCAGCCTTTAATGATCTTGGCCATGATAATGAAATAACAGACATGTCAGCCTTATTGTGTATTTCTTAAAGGGATAGATATTGAAAGACTTCGAGTAAGGGAAGATACAATTAGTAATACTTTGTAAATGAATGTACAGCAACAAACAAATAAACAAATAAACCCTCATCAGTAATCAATCTAGTTATAGTTGTACATACAAATGAGTTAAATATATACATACAAATGAGTTAAATATATCTAGTTGTTTCAAACCACATGTCTATGCAAAGAAAATAGACACGTGGTTTGAAACAACTCAGATATATTTAACTATCATTCTGAGTGTAAACATAGCCAAGTATGTAAAGAGTCTTTAATTCTTAGAGTTTATCTGCTTAGAATATTTTAAATTAAAAGTTCAAAAACAGTTTACTACAGTTAAAAAATTATACACATTGGTAAAAATCTGGGACTTAATGAAATATGTAAAATCTGGCATTTTGAACTTGGTTGAATTAGAGTTGATCTATATTTAAAAGGAGTTTTTGCTAAGCAGAAATTTCTCATGTTTAGGTACCCTATATTCCAAGAAGAAATTTTGAAGAACCACTTAATTAATAGGTGACAACTGATTTTCACACCTGTTTTATCAAGTAGCTTAAAAATAAATAATCTCATTTGTATGTACAGAAATGTAAATTTCCCAGTTAGTGACATAAACGGGTCCATTTTTCAGATATTTAGATTTTATAAACTATACACATTATATAAAATTAATGTATTTTCTTATATGAATATTGATTTTTACATATTTTGCATACTGTATATTAAAGTTGAGTAGCCACATTGCATGGTATGCTTTCACTTTATCAACAGTTATGCCCATAACTAATGAAGCCTGAAAATAAGTATTTAAAAAAACAAAATACCTTTAACCAATCTAAAGAGGTCATAATTCAATTTACATTCACTCTTTTGAGAGATAATATTAATATACTAGTATTATGAAGTCAAAGATACTGAGCTAATTTGTGCATGAGATGATATATTTCCAAATGAACAAAAATTAAATGGTGAATATGACTTTATTACAATTGTATCACAAATGTTAAGTATCTTGTGTAAAGTAAACTTTTACCCATAACATATTTTCCCTCCATTCCTCCATTCAAAACACACTAACCTTGTCCTAAAGTTTGTAGGATGAGGATGTCCATCATATAAGGATAAGTAGTCATATTCTTCTTCTAGAGCAAATGACTGAAAAACAATTTGTATTCTATTCCGTTCTTCTGCTATTATTACCCATGTACAGTTTGCACCATTTGGATATCCATATGGAAAACCAGGGCTTTCTATAGTGCCATTAAGTCCTTTTAAAGTTCCACCACATGTATAAATAAATCCTGAAACAAAAGACAAATAAACAGACATTAATATTATATAAAACACAAACAATCCAGGAGACATATAATTTTGAAAAAGCCTTTTTTCTAAGCCCTATGTTACCATAATTTTGTAAATGGGAAGGGCTGGGTAAATTATCTAATTTTCTTTTTTAAAAAGATAAGGCATAACTAGCAAACTCCTTTAAAAAAAAACTTGCCATTTATCAAACATCTTGTGGTTAGGAATTATAAACCAGGTGATGAAGTAAGTTTCTCCACACATCATGATCCAACAGACAAACAAAATCTTAGAACATGATATCTTCCCTGAAGTAGTTTCCAATCTAATCATGGACAATCATGAACAACAATGAAAATTAAATAATTTTTGAATGCATTTTATGTCTTAAAAAATTAACTCCACATTTCTTGGTAAAACATGCTATTTTTTTTTTCTGTCCATATCTCTGCCATGTAGCCAATGTGCCTTAGGAAAATCCTTCCCACCCTGATTCTACCAGAAGGAAAAATGGTTCAGATCTAAAAAAAACAATCTATGTAATCATTCTTTCTTTGACCGGAGTAGTTGGCCCAGGAAAAACACAATCCTAAACTAACTATACCAGAGTCAAACCTAAGGTTGGGAAGAAAATACATTGAAAATTTGAATCCTGGACAACTGACAGTAGCCATCTTAAGAACTTCCATGGTTCAGGGAGCCTGGGTGGCTCAGTTGGCTGAGTGTCTGATTCTTAATTTTGTCTCTGATCATGATCTCAGGGTCATGGCATAGAGCCCTCCATCGGGCTCCATGCTCAGAGAGGAGTCTGCTTGAGGATTCTTTCTTGTCTGTCATTGGCCCTTCGCTGTTCTCTCATTCTCTCTCTAAAATCAATCAATCAATCAATCAATCTTTAAAAAAAAAAAAGAACTTCCATGGTTCTATGGGAGTTCTAATTCTATGGGAAATCTAAATTATTGACAGCTTGACTCTTGGAGACACCTAGAAAACCATGTTTCTTGAGAAATTATTTATGAATATATGCTAGTCTGTAGTCATATTAGGTAATGTAAAACTCTAAAATTTAGACAATGGTCAGGGAAGATGGTCCCAGCATGTTTCTAGACTAGTCTAATTAAAGACTGGATCCATGGTTGCGGAAGTTCTGATAAGAATTCTTCTGGTAAGAATTCTTCACCTTGGTGTTATTTCCAGATCTGTGGGTTGTGCACGGTGCTTATGGGTCATGAAGCTGTAAGTCAGAAATACAAGCTAATTTGGGGGAGAGAACACCATACTACCCAAAGTATCTATATTTGGAACTGGATATAGAAATGTAGGAAATATGGGGCACCCCTCTCTGAGAAGGAATGAGTATATGATAGGTATGGATATTTTTGAAAAATATGAGGAACCATGCACAGAAGATGGGAAGCCAGAGTTGTAGATTGTGGCAGACAGAGAATGATTTGGGATGTAATCCATTCTTCTCTCTTTTCACAAGAACACCATGCTTTTGCTAGGGGACACAATTCTCTACCAAACAACTGTATGCTTTAGAATAGCTGGCTCTACTGATTCTAATGGTGAGGCGGGTGGCTCAGGGCTGAATTAATCAGTACAACCCTATCCTCTTACCCACTTTTACTTCAGGAACCTACTCTGATTATTTCCATTTACCACAAAGTCCTAAACCTGGGATATTCAGTATTGATATAAACACAGTTCTTGTTCTTTTTGGCCTTTTAGAACGTTACCAAGAAGTTGGATAAGGTAGTCTCATTCTCTCTCTCAAATAAATAAATAAAATCTTAAAAAAAAAAAAAAAGAAGTTGGATAAGGTAGAAGTTTAAAAAAAAAATCAATATTTGTGTGTATACATACATTTTTGCTCATGCACCAAAAGTCAAATAGGGCATTTTGTGATTCTCAAAAATAAAAAAAGGAGCAAGGTCCCTTTTAAATTGCTTCTTACAGAGCAATTACTTTGAAGCCTTAGGTTAATTAGCTATCACCCATTTCTATTAGTTTCCTGCCTGAACAGCTTCCAATTTGAACTTCATAACTAAATGCAAGCATGAATCCCTTCAGCTACAATGTGATCTATGGGCTGTTTTATATATTCTCAAGCCCCATCACCCTGAATGGCTTTAGAAAAAGGACATATGTCCTAAAATAACATGTTCAGCTCTGGCCACTAATTCTTTAAGGGCCTACTGATTCACACATTTCAGTTCCTTTCCTTTTTTGTTTCTTGAGGCAAATTAAGAATTACACCTATTTTTAAGCTTTCTTATCTGTGTTCTTCATTTTATTTTCATTTTTTGTTTATATTGAGGTTTGATTAAACATCACATTATCCATAATAACAAAGTACATTTTTCCAACAATAGGTTTATAATTTCCACATCCCCCCCAAAAACAGAAACAAATAGAGTTCTTAAAAGTAAAGTAAAATCTCCCTCATTTACTTATGCTTCACAAGGTTGGTCATTGTTATCACCTTAGTGTGTATCTCTCTCTCGGCCATTTCTAGGCAAATGAAGATATATGCATATTTCCATGCATTATATATGTATATATATTTACAAATAGAATCAGTCATACTATGCATAATTTTCTGAATCTTTTTGTGTATATGTGTAAAATATTACTGATTCTGGATCCACATGTGTACTTCTCCTACATTCTTTTTTAATGACTACATAGCTATATGGCATATGGTATGCCTGTACTTAATTTTGTTTAATTATCTCTTATTGACAGCTTTAGTCTTTGTGTTTTCAAGGGCACAAAGAACAACTATGGATGTATATCCTTGTGCACTTGTGTGATACATACTTCAGATAGAATTCCAGAAGTGGGTGTGTTGCATTTTAAATTTAGGTAGATAATCCAAACAATCCTCGATAAATGTGAAAATTTCTGCTGCTATCAACAGGTTATGAAGTGTTTTCAACCTCCAACTTAAATTTTGGCAACATTAGATTTTTTACAAAGCAAAAAAAAAAAAATGTTATCTTACTATTTTATTTTGCATTTCTCTGGTAACTGTTGGGATCAAATATCTTGCTATATGTTTCTCATTTATTCATAATTCTTCTTTTATGAATTGCTTCTCCATACCCTTCACTTCTTTTTATTGGACTCTACTTTTTTTAATTCTCTTTTAGGATACAATTGCTTAGCTTTCTGATTATTCATTGGTAATCCATATTTGCCTTTCACATATACATTTCTAAATGAAATAACTTTGCTTATTCTTTATAGCTCATTGCTCTCATAAATCCACAACTCCTTAGTGCTCTTTATAGTACATGTGAAGCTTCATCTTTTCCACTCCTTTCCTTTGATGATATTTCTCCCATATTGTTCATCTATTCATCACATATGCCATGCCTTCAGGATAAGATGATTAAAAGGACACTATTCCAGCCTGTCTTCATGGAACTGACAAGCTACAACATAAGACAGCATGGATATACAGATTATTAATGTAGAATATGGTAAATGCTATGATTGGGGTAAGCACTCATTGCTGTGAGAATACATGGAAGCAAAACTTAATCTAGATGATTCAGTATGTGTTTGTGGAAAACCTGTCTCAAAAATTGGCATTGCAACATTCCATAGATTCAGTCTTTGACAGATTCTGAATGCCTTATGTTGTATTTTTCACACCTTAACTTTCCACTTAAAGAGTCAATTTATAATTGAAAAATAACTAAACTTTACATGATTTGGGTCACAAGAATTTGGGTAGAATACAGATTTTTAATTTTTTCTCCCTTTATTCTTTCATGTTCATAATTTAACTTTTCCATACAGTAAGAAAATATAAGTATTTGTACAGTATTTTTATGATATTTTAAATTTTATGTTGTTTTCTTTTATGCTAGCCAAGATCTATGGCATTACAAGAAACACTCTTGTGTTTACCTTTCGCTTTTTTTCACACTTGTGTTTATCCACTGCGATTGGGCTTTTGTGCCCAATTATACAGAATGACTCTTTTTTTTCATCACCAAGAGTTCACAATTTTATTGACATACAGCACTTGTGTGATAAAGATTGTAAAGAACTTAATAGTAGCAGTTAGCCTTTTTTTTATCGTGGTAAGCAACACATAATATGAAGTCTATCCTTTTACCAAGTGGTAAGTGGACAGTACTGCTAATTACATGCACAATGTTGTACAGTAGCAGATCTTTAGAACTTTTTCGTCTTGCATGAATGAAACACTATTCCCCTTGAAAAATAATTTCCCCATATTTCCTAGCTCCTGGAAACTACATTCTACTTTCTTATGCGTGAATTTCACTAATTTAGATACCTCACATAGATCATGCAGTATTTGCCTTTCTGTGACTACCTTACTTCATAAGGTACTTAAGTACTCATACATACTTAACATAATGTTCTCAAGGTTCATTCATGTTGTAATATATGACAGAATTTCCCTCTGATTTCCACTGAAAATACCTCATTTTCTTTATTCATTAACCCTTTAATGGACATTTAGATGTTCCCACTTCTTGGCTATCATGAGTAAAGTTGCAGTGAACATGAGAGTACAAGTATCTCTTTGAGATCCTGCTTTTAATTATTTTGGATAAATACCCAGATGTGGAATGGCTGGATTATACAGCAGTTCTATTTTTAATATTTTGAGGAACTTCCATACTGTTTTCCTTAGTAGCTGCATCACTACCAGTAAATATTTCAAATCAGGTGAGGTTTTGTGTGTGTGTGTGTGTGTGTGTGTGTGTTTTAAGTAATGAATGAATTCTAAGTTGTCAGATCCCTTAATATGGAGTTGTTCATAGTATGCCCTTATTATCCTTCTGATGTCTGTTGGGTCTGTGGTGCATCCCTTCTTGTATTCCTAATATTAGTAATTTTGTTGTTTTTCTCATTTTTTTGTCAGTCTTGCTAGTGCTTTGCCAATTTCAATGATCTTTTTAAAGAAACAAGTTTTTGTTTCATTGATTTTTTTCTCTGTAACTTTCTCTATTCT